CCCCCCCCTCCATCTTCCCGTTCTCATCTTTCCCAATCTAATCATTCCTCGTTCTCATTCTTCCTTCTTCATGTCATTGTCATGCTAAGAGTTTACTGTTCTAGTCCATGGTCTAGTCAAGTTTTCAATCATCTCTACCATACTATTTGCAGCGACATATCGTATTATTGTATCCTACATGTACCTACTATTGGTAATGAGATCATTATGTTCAGTATAATTATTTATTTTGTTTTATTTTGAAGTTCGAGTACATTCACTACCACATTGACATCCATCCCAGTTTCTTAATAATTCGTCTGAAATAAACATTTGTTTATTTAGTTACATTTTGTCATTCCCTCTGAAACGCAATCTACTTACAGGAGAAACAGTCCACTTTTTTTATGTTTATGTTTATCTTCACTTTTTACTGTACTGTACTGCATGTACTGTACAAGACATGATATGTCCAATGCATATGTGCAAAGAAAGACAAGGCAAGGCAAGCAAGGCAAATCATTCCTCCAATCGCTATGCAGACCCTGACAGCCGTCAAAGAAATAAAAGGGAAAAGAATGGCTAAGTACGCAAACGCTGTATATTCAGACAAAAACGACCCGGGTATAGCGCCTCGCTTAACTCAACTCAAATCATTATTAACCCAGATAGAAGATGTGCAAGAACAATGTGTTTTTTTTTTAATCGTAGATCTTGTCGTATTCGTCAGTCGTTATGTTTCCTGTGCAGTTAGTTCTTCACCACGCGCGGCCAGCGCGAGATGTACTCCACGTCGTCCAGAGGGCCCTTGCTCTGGTTGCGCACGTACTGCGTGCTCGGGTCCACCCTAGGCTCGTAGTCCCAGATGGTCGGCTGGCCCTTGATCAGCGCCGAGTACACCAGGCGGCGCCGGCGCTGCGACCGCAGCACGTCCTGGTGGATGCGGTCCAGGTCCCAGCGGGCGTGCACCTCCTCGACGAAGTGGCGCAGCAACGTCGCCGGGTCGGTCGTGTCGGGCAGACTGATCGATCGCGCCGGACTGGGGGTCCGCGGCGGAGTCGGAGTCGCCGGGATCTTCGGGAAGAACGATTTCTCGGTGCTCAGGAACGGCGTCGCGCCTGGCGTGTCTTCTGGCGTCGGGAGACCGGCCGTCGTCTGGTTGACGTGTGCCGGGATGGCCGGTTTGGCTGGCACGGGCAGGCCCGCCACCAGATTGACCGACTCGGTCGGATCCGCCTCCAGGTCGAACAGCATTGGCGGGTCGACCAGCGAGTACACAAACTTCCACCGTCCGCGACGGATCATGACGACGGGCGTCTGCGTTCCCTCGGCCATGTACTCGCCGAACACGGTGTCCGTCTTGACCCCGTCCTCCCCGGTAAGGTAGGGCAGCAGCGAGACACCGTCCATCGGCAGGCCGGGAACCAGCTCAGCCCCGACGAGCGAGACGAAGGTGGGCAGAATGTCGATCGTCGACACGTTCTCCTTGATCCGCTTGGGCGAGAAGCGGTTGGGCGCGTGCACGATGAACGGCACCCGGGCCGAATTCTCGAACCAAACCATCTTGTACCACAGACCCCTCTCGCCGAGCATGTCGCCGTGGTCGCCCGTGAAGACAATGATGGTATCGTCCCGCAGTCCACAGTCGTCGAGCGCACGAAGCAGCTTGCCCACGTTGGTATCGACGTAGGTGCAGGCAGCATAATAGGCTCGACGCGCCGCCTTGATGCGCTCCTCAGGGATCTCCTTTCCCCACAGATCGATGCACTTCAGCACCCGCTGCGAATGGGGGTCCTGTTTGTCCTGGGGAATGGCCGGCGTTTTGGGCAGCGGAATGTCGACGTCCTCGTACAAATCCCAGAACTCCTTGGTCATGGCGTAGGGGTCGTGCGGGTGGGTCATGGACACGGTCAAGCAGAAGGGCTGATCGCCGCGCTTCCGCACATGGTCGTAGAGGTACTGGGTCGACTTGTAGATGACCTCCTCGTCGAAATCGAGCTGGTTCGTGCGAACGACGGGGCCCGCGTCCATGACAGAGGACATGTTGTGGTACCAGTCTGGGCGGATGTCCTGAACCACAGCCGACGTTAGCTTTCTCTCCTGCTGTCCTCTCCCGCTTCTAACATACCGGCTCATCCCAGTTGACAGTCCAGCCGTAGTCACCCGGGTAGATGTCGCTCGTCAGACGCTGCTCATAACCATGCAGCTGGTCCGGGCCGCAGAAGTGCATCTTACCGGCCAGCGCGGTGTGGTATCCCTCGCGACGCAGGTAATGGGCGTAGGTCGGGACGTCGGCGGGGAGGTCGGAGGCATTGTCGTAGGCGCCGATCTTGGAGGGCAGCTGGCCGGTGACCATGACGAAGCGCGAGGGGGCGCACAGCGGCGAGTTGCAGTAGGCATTGTCGAAGACGACACCCTCCTTGGCCAGCCGGTCGAGATTGGGGGTCTTGATGGGCGAGTCCTTGTCGTGGATGGACAGCAATGGCGCGGCCATCTGGTCGGCCATGATGTAGAGGATGTTGGGCTTCTTGGCAGCCATGCTTGGACGCGCACGGTGTCGGGATCAGGACGGACAAGAACAGACGACACGAGACGAGGTCGGGCAGAACTGTCAGCGATCGAATGGGGACGGAGCAGAGGCAGGACGAGGGCCCAGGCCTGCTTTTGTAAAGCGAAAACGTGGAACGCGGCGTGCCATGACTCGGTGGGCCACGCCGCGGAACTGCAGGAACCGACGCCGTTGACGGTTGACGGCGCCAAACACCATATCCTGGGGCGATGGTGTGATTGCTAAGATTGCGGGGTTTAGCCGACCGCGAAGAGCCCAACCGCGCGCTGCCATCGATGCCATCAACGCCATACGCAGGATCTCCGCTCCGGATCGTCAGGAGAGGCGAGTTGCTTCAGGATGTCACGTGGAGCGGATGATTGCCATGTGACGCAGCGTGACCAGACGCGGGAATCCAATTCCTGAGCGAGCAGCGCAGTGGCACGCCGCTGCTGATAATAATCTGCATTAGTCATTATCAACATTGAAAAGTTTTTTTTTTCTTGGCTCTGTCGGTGTGCGCTATCAGCCGATCAGCCGCTCTTATCTCCACTTGACGCGGCCTGCGAAGCCCACTGCCACCGTGGCATTGCAGAGGATCTCCACAGCTAGTCGTGCTCTGTACAGCCGCACACTGCTGATAGCAAACATCGACCATCTTATCGCAGAGAGATTCGCATCGACTATTCGAGAAGACCAGCCAGACACCCGGAGAGAGATCTCATCAACAAGCACGACAGTCCGATCCGACTGCGCGTCTCCGGGTCGTTAGTGCAAGTAAATCGCCGATCCGATGAGCACGCCACCGTCAGCCAATCAGCGGCTCGCGTTTCTTCTTCCTGTCCGGGTCAAGTGGCGGCAATCCTGCCACCCACTTTCCGCATTCGATCAGTCCACCGTGATTACATAATCCCAGAGATCTGAACCGATAAGAACCCGACTCACAATTCCAATTGATTCTTTTATTATGCGAATCGGTCGTGTCTGTACGGAGTACTCGAAACACTGGCAAGGATTATTCTTATCAGTATTAGTAGTATTGTTGTTATGATTCTCGCCAATACTACCTCCATCCCACACTAGGTACTACGTATATCCATGCACGGTTCAACCCTATTTGGCATGCGGTCGACCATTGATGAAGATCCTTGTGGGGTGGGTGCCTGGTCTAAATTAAATTGATAATTAATCATGCTGAGTTGGCAAAGGGTCTCCACTGCACTCTACTGTACTCCGTATTGGATGAGAAGTATTGTACGGTGAGGAAGATAAAAAAATTAGTACAGTACAGTACAGTACAGTATGGGGTAGCGAAACAGGCCTGTAAGGCTTGTATATATAGCGCACTATACCGGAGAGGTAGAGGGTGGACCTATATGAATAATAATACCCGATCTGTCTCTCGTCTGAGCTATGCAAGAACGCCCTCTAATTCGACAATGGGTATGATGTTTCTCTACACACAACCTTAGTTACGTACACGCATGCTGTTCTGAACAACCAAGAGACGAGAAAAGCACTGCTTCAAAAAGACAGAGAAAGGGAAATAAAAAAAAAGCTCAATGGAATATAAAATATAGAAACACCGGACAACACTGGTGTTTAAAAACGGCACTTCGTGTCCAAGGAATAGACACAAGTCCCGGTATGAAAAGCGTAATATAGTCCAATTCAAACAAACACCATCGCATAACGACCGTTTCACACGGTTTCCTCTAGCTCTGCGGCTCTTATGTCCCGAGATCCAGGTGCTAGACTCAATCTACCTTGATCGCGCTGCGAAAACGTTAGTATCCCTCTGCGGAGAATATCTGCAACCGGCCAAAGATTTCATACCTGTAAATCCTCCTGACGAACGCATATGCCGTCAAGAAGCCCACCGTCCCCGTCAAGAGGCCGTACACGGCGCAGGCCAAGAAGCTGTAGCTGAAGAAGAGAAGACTCGACACAAATCCTGTTATGTGCAGCTTGAAAAGGTAGTACCAGATACAGTACGCAAAAATCCAAAACGCGCTGCTGCCTCCCGTCAGGAAGCTCTGCCACCACCAATGATAGTTCTGCGGCGAGAAATCCAAGTCAGTATAAAGTAAAGACCTGTGATGTCGAGTTTTATTCCTCACCTCTGAGCAGAGCTGGCTATACGTCGCTATGATCGTCACCTCGCTGACCGTCACGATCAAGATGGCGCAGACCACACTAAGGAATCCAAAAACATAATAATATCCGCTCTTGTCCTGCCACAGGTTCTTAAAGACAAACAGCAGCTCGATAAACAGCACCGCAAACGGGACCAGACCGGTCAGCAGGGGGCCATGGATCCCGCGCAAGTACCACGGCTGCGGCGGGATTTGGCGTGCAATCGACGCCGTCTTGGTCGGGTGCTCCCAAGGGGCCGCTCGCACGTAGCCATACCAGCTGCCCAGATAGACCAGCGGGACTTGGATCAGAAGCCAGAGAGCAACCAGTGCGATCAGCGTCCCGAACGGTATCGCCGTGCTGGACGCCTGGGCCCAGACAAACAGGTTCAGGATGAAGATCATACAGAAGGTCAGCCCGGGGAACAATGAAGCTGTCTGCGCAGCGGTTAGCAACAAACTCGTCACACCAACCAAAGGATGGCACGCACAATCAAGGTATTCTTTCTCCAGTGTACCCCTCCAAACGTCTTGTAAAGTCTCGCAGAAAAGTATCCCGAGAAGAGGCCAGCAAACACGAATAAGCCCATGCCAACGCTAACAAAGCCGCCACGGAAGCTTGGGTTCAAGACCCCCATGCAACTGAGGATCAGAAGCCCCGCGGCCATGAAGAGCAGCTGCATCCCAGATCCGACCAGAGGAGCAAGAAGACCGCTGTAAGCAGGCACCCGGAAGACGTCGCCGTGCAGCAGCTTCCAGCCTGCGATATCTTCCACCACTTCGTCGTCCGATGAGAGATCGGCATCCTGCTCGCCAGCCCCAGATTGCTCAAGAAGCCCTTCACCGGATTTCTTCTCCCCGACCCTGCCGGACTTTGACCGGGATTTCGAGCGGAGTTTCAATTTGCCATCTTCGAGAACACCATCTCCACGGCCCTTCACATCACCTTGCACCGTCCTTCCCCAAATGACGAGCACGGTCACACCCAATACCCCGGAGATGATCAGAGAGTTGATAATCGCGAGCCAGTGTGTCATCGAGCTATCGGTCTGATCCGTGAAGTACAGGTCCCACCGGTTCGACCACTCAATCTTGTCCTCTTCTCGGAAGTAGACAGAATAAGTGTATGGGATCCGCAGCTTCGCGCCATCGTCCACTTCGTCGTCCTCTTCGGGAATGTACGACGAATCGGGATACTTCTCGCGCAGTCTCGAGGTATTGGGTGCGATGTACAGCTCCAGACCGGGGTGGTCGCCGCGGACATCCTTTGGACAGCCACTCTCGTCGCGATCGTCGAGACCAATGCTTTTCGGATATATCTCCACGCCCACAATGACTTTACCACCTTCGTCACCGGCCTTGCCAGGGGCCTTCCGCCAGCGGATCACGATCGTGAAGTGATTGTGGATGAAAAACCGCGGCTTGCCATTTGAAGGTGAGATGTCTTGGTAGCCGAGCTTGAACCCACTGGCATAGTATTTCCGGCTGCGGTCAACCGTCTCGAAGCTGGTTGCTACAGGCAGATTATCCACGATCCATTCAGCCACATATCCGTTATTAATTAGCTCTTGGCCCCATTTGACCCCCTTGCGATCTACTTCCTGCGTGCACAGCGCCTGACAGTCGACGTCCTTGCCCATGACAAGCTCAAAATCAGATGTCATGATGCGATCGCCGCGCAGGATTTCACCCAGGTTGAGAGAGACGCTGTGTCCGGAGCCGAACGGAGACCCGCCATGCTTCTGACCGGTCGGAGGGCAGACGAACGGGAGATCATAGTAGGCATACTGAAGCTGCGTGTGGTCGGAGAAAATCTTGTTCACAAGGAGAGGGATGTGCTCGTCATCGCGGTAGCTTATTATTGAGTAGCCTAGAGGCGATCATGCGTCAGCAGTGGAGAGCAGCCGTGGACATTGACGCGGGCACCCACCAGGAATATAGAACGCGCGACAGCATGCTACCAGAAGCAGCCAAGTTACCACTGACCACACCCGAAAGTAAGCAGTTAATGCCATCGTGGAATGAGGCAGACAATCCGCCGTGGATGCCGACCGAAAGGCTCCGCTATCGGGTAGACATCAACCGTGCAAGGCCCCGATGTCCAGCAAAAACGGTGGTGGAGTGCAGTGCAGCCAGACACCGGCTTTGCAGCCCTCACTGTCTTCTCTCTCCGCAGCCCAGACTTGAGGGGTAGTCACCGAGTCACGCGAGGCGATGATCGTCGAGGCCGAGCAGAAGTAGCCTACGTAAGCGGAGAGAAAATCGCGAGTGGACTGCGCGGGACGGGGTCGGCGATGACTTAACGAGTGGAACCGGCACAGAGTACCTGGAGAGAGCAGGGAGGGGAATGCTGCAGATCAGAAGCGAGGGATCCTGGGACAGAGATCTGTCTAGCTGATTGATAAAAGGGAGAGATGAAGATCTTCGATCAACGCCATCAGTTGTTTCAGGTCGCCCATCCACGGCGGCGGCTCCGCCCCAGTTGGGTTTAGGTTCATTCCGACCGGAAGCCTCCTGGCCCGAGTGCAACGCTCCGTGGACGATCCTCAATACTCGATCGGATTGTCGCTGCTTCTAATTATATTCTCATAGTTACAGGACGCAATGCTGCAGTTCCATCCGCAGCTTCTCTGACAACGAAAAAAAAAGAGAACTTGCTTGCCCTGGCTGCTTGAAAACATCCGCCTCGTAGAAATGAAACAACGAGCCCAGTCGGTTATTGTTCCGTCGCCTCAATTAATTTTAACTGCACAGACCACTATTAATCGACGCCTCAATGCTGCTGCTACCAACCAGGGATTGGTATTATTAATATTGATGACCAACACGAGCATTTCCCCAGCGTAATAGGGGGACTCGAAATAGTCAACTCGCATTAGACATGTTGATCTTACAATCCATAAGGGAGTCACTAGCGCTACCGTTCTCTCAATGCCAACGCTAATGGGAATAGTCAAAGATCGAAGACTTTGAGTCTTACTCACGGGATGTACACACCCGTTCGTAACGTCCGGTCATAAATGGACGAGTAAAGAATTCATCAACTACCATTCTCGCAAGTGCAAAAGAACCACTCGCAAAGAGACCAGAGGGGTAAAAAAAAAGAAAAGGAACCAGCATAGGCGATGACAAGTGTAGAAAATGATCGCCACACAGCTCACGATGGATGGTTCAGCAGATATTCCACTGCCCCTTGCACACTACCTCCTGTCCTCCGCAGAGCTTCAATATTCTTCTCGAATTCATAGAAACCCATATCATTAAGTTGTCGCAGCTGTTCCGCATACCGCTCCTCCGGTGGTCGGTTATCTTGCTGAGGCGGAGAACCGAACAATCCTGCAAAAGGGTTGTTTGCTGCCTCCTGGCCCCCCAAAGCCTGGACAAAGTTTGACAAAAGCTGGGGATCTCGAAGGAACGGGTTGGTCTGTGGATTGAAGGGATTGAATGCGGCTTGGGCACCCTCCTGCTGTTGCTGCTGAGACCCGGCGTTCCCGTCCGATGTGCCAGGTTGCGTCTGTGGGACACCAAAAAGGGCAGGGTTGAAGAGAAGCGCAAAAGGATTCTGTTGATTTTGGGTAGCCCCGCCTGTCGTTCCTTGGCCGGTAGCATTTGCATTCTGCTCTCCGCCGGCAGGAGTCGTTGAACGAGCGTTCGCAGCGCCGCCAGCGGGATTGGCTCCAAAGAGGTTCGCGAATGGGTTGCCAGCCAGACCGGCAGCTAAGAAGGGGTTGACAGGCGGCGTCTGATTGGTCTGGTTGGTCTGGTTGGTTTGCTGCTGCTGCTGCTGGTTCCTGTTTTCTTCTGGAGTCGTGTTTGTGACACCTGGAGCTGGGAAAGCGGTATTACCAGCCACCGCCCCGAACCCAAATGCACCCAAGCCACCCATGGCTCGTTGAAGTTGTGCCATCTGGCGAATGGTGTTGGGATCAGTGAGCATTCGGCGGAACTCGGGGCTCTGCATCATCTGTCGGACAGCTGGACCCATTTCGCGAAACATGGGGTTCTGCTGGATCATCATGTCAATAATGGCGGGATTCTGCAAGGCCTCGTTCATGGTCGCCTGGACTTGGGGGTTCTCCAGCATGCTGAGCATCGCCTCCGGATCAGGAGGGGGGCCCATCTGAAAGAACGGTCAGCTTCAAGTCCACGTACATAAACCTGGAATGGGTGAACTTACACCACCGTCGGGTCCAAACATGCCTGCGCCTGGAAGCTGAGCAAATCCTGCGTATCTCGCACCCGTCAACCCGGCCAGTGGATTGTTGCCCGTGCCAGCGGCAATGTTGGTCGGGACGCCGGGAATGGACTGATTGGCATTGGCACCGGAGGTTGCCGTCGAGGGTTGAGCAGCGGGCGCTTGTCGCTGGTTGCTCGCTGCACTCTTTACCAGATGGATGGTGTTCCCTTCCTTGATCTTATACGTCGCGAGGGTCTCATTGTCCTTGAGCACGCGTCCAGAGTAGATCAGCCGCTGGCGGTCGGCGGGTGTGTCTGCATATTCTGAGCTCGACAGCTTGTTCTTGAGCTCAGCGACAGTCGTCGATGTCGGCAAAGTGAGGGTGAATTTGGCATCGTTGGATGCCTTGACGTGGAAGGTGATGGAGGAGTCCTCCGTCGTAGTGGTATCGTCAGCCATGATATCAGAGGCTAACGGGGGAGGGGTAAGCTGAGCGACGAGGGAGAATTGCGCAAGAGCAACGCTGGCTGCGGGAGTCCCTGAGGACCGAAATGGACAGAAAGGCCTGGATGCGCCAGAAGAGGGATGGGAGAGCAGACTGGAGGGGGAAATATATACGCTGGCGAGCTGGCTGACTGCAGTCAACCAGCATCTCCGCCACGGCGAATGCCCGGCCGAAGGTGGCAGAAACCCATCGTGCCCGTTCCGCTCTCGCTGCCTGAATGGCATTCATGCCTCAGGCATCAACAGCTCCCTTGGCAGCGGCTAACCCACAGCTTTTCATCCTCAGCTCTGCACAACAAATTTTGCTTCTACCACGAACGACATCACCGTCGTCCTCACTGCCACCACCGCTGTTCACCACACATAGCTCTGCTGGGGCTTGTGTCACTCCTGCCCCAGCACAGCAATGGGACCTTGCACTATCTAGCTTCTGATCCTCCCACAAAACGCGTCGCGTTCATCGCCTCTGGTCTGCGTGACCAGAGAGCTGTCTTAGCTGCCCACCATGGCGACCACGTCGAACATGTTTATGTACTCCCTGACCATCCAGCCCCCGACTGCCATCACTCAGGCTATTCTGGGCCAGTTTGCGGGAACCAAGGAGCAGCAGATTGTCACCGCGTCCGGCTCCAAGCTGACCATCCACCGGCCCGACCCAACCCAGGGCAGGATCACGCCCATCTACTCGCAGGATGTCTTTGGCATCATTCGCTCGCTGGCCGCCTTCCGGCTGGCCGGCAGCAGCAAAGGTATGCATTCCCTTCTCTGTCTCCTCGTGGTACGGTCATCTTAGTGATTCGTCAAGCTCCCGGGGCAGTTCGATCTTGCGTTGGCGATCCAGGCCTCCGGTTGGGATATGCCCCGGTCGACCGCATTGATGACATGGGTGCTTGTGGCTGAGCTGTGCTGAACATGTGTCCAGATTACATTATAATCGGATCCGACTCGGGCCGTATCACCATCATCGAGTACATGCCGCAGCAGAACCGGTTCCACCGCATCCATCTGGAGACCTTCGGCAAGTCCGGTGTCCGACGAGTCATCCCGGGCCAGTATCTGGCGGTGGATCCCAAAGGCAGAGCATGTCTGATTGCGTCAGTCGAGAAGAATAAGCTGGTGTACGTTCTGAACCGCAACGCGCAGGCGGAATTGACCATTTCCTCGCCCCTGGAGGCTCACAAGCCACACGCGCTGGTCTTCTCCGTTGCAGCGTTGGATGTGGGATACGAGAACCCCATCTTCGCGGCCCTGGAGGTCGACTATTCCGAATGTGATCAAGATCCCACTGGTAAGGCGTACGAGGAAGTGGAGAAATCGCTCGTGTATTACGAGCTTGATCTGGGCTTGAACCATGTCGTCCGGAAGTGGTCAGACCCCGTAGACCGCACGGCAACGATGTTATTCCAGGTTCCCGGTGGTGCGGACGGTCCCAGCGGGGTGCTGGTATGCGCTGAAGGCAACATTACCTATCGTCACTCCAACCAGGATGCTTTCAGGGTGCCGATCCCTCGGCGCAGCGGGCCAACAGAGAACCCGGAGCGGAAGCGCTACATTACGGCTGGCGTCATGCATAAGATGAGGGGCGCATTCTTTTTCCTTCTGCAGACTGAGGATGGTGATCTATTCAAGGTCACCATCGATATGGTCGAGGATGAGAAGGGGCAGTTGACCGGCGAAGTGCGCAGACTGAAAATCAAGTACTTCGATACCGTGCCTATTGCAACGAGCCTCTTGATCTTGAAGAGCGGGTTTCTGTTCGTCGCCAGTGAGAACGGTAATCATCATTTCTACCAGTTCGAGAAACTGGGAGATGATGATGAAGAGACCGAGTTTACGAGCGACGACTTCTCCGCTGACCCTTCGGAGCCTCTGCCGCCTGTCTACTTCCGCCCCAGGGGAGCGGAAAACGTGACTCTGGTGGAAAGCATCAATTCCTTGAATCCCCTGATGGATGCCAAAGTCGCCAACCTCACGGACGAGGACGCCCCACAGATTTATACACTCTGTGGAACGGGAGCGCGGAGCAGCTTGAGGATCCTGAAGCACGGCTTGGAGGTTTCTGAAATCGTGGAGTCGGAACTTCCCAGCATGCCGTCAGCAGTTTGGACAACGAAGCTGGCCCGAACTGACCAGTATGATGCTTATATCATTCTCTCTTTTGACAATGGCACACTTGTTCTCAGCATCGGCGAGACAGTCGAAGAAGTCACGGATACTGGTTTCCTTTCGACTGCGCCCACGCTGGCCGTCCAGCAACTGGGAGAAGACTCCTTGATTCAAGTCCATCCCAGGGGTATTCGGCATATCCTTGCTGATCGCCGGGTAAATGAATGGCCCGCTCCGCAGCATCGAACGATCGTCGCTGCGGCTACGAACGAGCGCCAAGTCGCTGTTGCTTTGAGTTCGGGAGAGATAGTGTATTTCGAAATGGATACGGATGGATCCCTTGCCGAATATGACGAGAAGCGGCAGATGTCCGGCACTGTCACTTGCCTCAGCCTTGGTGAGGTCCCGGAGGGCCGCGTCCGGAGTTCGTTCCTCGCCGTTGGGTGCGATGATTCTACTGTCCGCATTCTCAGCTTGGATCCCGACTCGACCCTGGAGAACAAGTCAGTGCAGGCTCTTACTTCCGCCCCTTCTGCCCTGAATATCATGTCTATGACAGACTCCAGCTCTGGTGGATCAACGTTGTACTTGCACATTGGTCTATACTCGGGTGTCTATCTCCGAACCGTTCTTGACGAGGTTACCGGAGAACTTTCCGACACCAGAACTCGATTCTTGGGTCCTAAACCGGTCAAGCTGTTCCGGGTGTCTGTAAAGGGCCAGACGTCAGTTCTTGCTCTCAGCTCCCGTCCTTGGCTGGGATACTCGGATGTTCAGACCAAGAGTTTTATGCTCACGCCGCTGGATTACGTCCCACTGGAATGGGGCTGGAATTTCTCCAGTGAGCAGTGTGTGGAGGGAATGGTCGGCATCCAAGGGCAAAATCTCAGGTGAGTAGCCACGTCGTTCTTTTCGTGTTTCATTCGATCTATGATGACAGTTACATTCACCGAGTTTCCATGCGGAAATCCTTTAAAAATTTACTCCAATTGTTCCTACTGAGATCATACACACTCTTCATTCGTCTGGCCTGCAACGGTGTTGTCAGTGGCTGACTTGAGAACTTTGACAGAATCTTCTCCATCGAGAAGCTGGATAACAATCTTCTCCAACAGTCCATTCCCCTCACGTACACTCCACGCCGGTTTGTTAAACATCCTGAACAGCCGCTATTTTATGTCATTGAGGCCGACAACAACATTCTGTCACCGGCGACACAGGCTCGGCTAGTCGAGGACTCGAAGCTCCAGAATGGTGACGCTGTGATACCTCCTCCGCAAGACTTTGGCTATCCGCGCGCAAACGGCCATTGGGCATCGTGCATCGAAGTGGTCGATCCCGTCAACGCCAAGTCAGTTATTTCGCGTATCGAACTGGAGGAAAACGAGGCGGCTGTCAGTATTGCGACGGTTTCCTTCTCCAGTCAGGACGATGAGACTTTCCTCATCGTGGGAACTGGCAAGGACATGGTCGTCAGCCCACGTTCCTGCTCTGCCGGATTCATTCACGTCTACCGATTCCAAGAAGATGGCAGGGAGCTTGAGTTCATCCACAAGACCAAGGTCGAGGAGCCTCCACTTGCTCTTCTCGGCTTCCAAGGGCGTATGCTCGCTGGTATTGGCTCGTACCTCCGCATATACGACCTCGGAATGAAACAAATGCTTCGAAAGTGTCAGGTCCAGGCCACGCCAAGACTCATCGTTGGTCTGCAGACGCAAGGCAGCAGGATCGTTGTGGCCGATGTCCAGGAAAGCGTCACGTACGTCGTCTACAAGCATCAGGAGAACCGTCTGATCCCGTTTGTGGATGATGTCGTTGCGCGTTGGACGACGACGTCGACCATGGTGGATTATGAGACGACAGCGGGTGGTGACAAGTTTGGCAATATCTGGCTGGTCCGCTGTCCCAAGAAAGTGTCGGATGAGTCGGATGAAGATGGGTCGGGTGCTCACCTCATCCACGAGCGTCCATACCTTAATGGCACTCCCAATCGGCTGGACTTGATGATTCATTTCTACACCCAGGACATCCCGATGAGCCTACAGAAGACGCAACTGGTGGCGGGAGGCCGCGACGTTCTGTTCTGGGCCGGCCTTCAGGGAACGATTGGCATGTTTATTCCGTTTGTCAGCCGTGAAGACGTGGACTTCTTCCAGAGTCTGGAGATGCAATTGGCCGCGCAGAATCCTCCTCTTGCGGGAAGGGATCATCTGATCTACCGCAGTTATTACGTTCCGGTGAAGGGAGTCATCGATGGTGATCTGTGCGAGACGTATTTCCTGCTACCTAATGACAAGAAGCTTATGATTGCGGGCGAGCTGGATCGGACGGTTCGGGAGATTGAGCGTAAGATATCGGTAAGCATGACTCTAGGCAATGGTGTTTACTTGACTTTGCTGACATATTCTAGGATATGCGGACAAGGGTTGCTTATTAGATTTGGTTCTGGTGTAACATCGGCCTGGCGTCTGGGACGGCGTTTGTCGACTTGCAAAGAGTATACCAGCCAAGTTTACGGTGTGCCATAGCATAGTCTTATTTATGACAGTGACGAATTGATAATCATGACCAAGCTTGCATAACCAAGAAGATTTAACAGGTAATCCCTTCAAACAGTAACACCCATCAGAACAAAAAAAATGAAAGTGTCAAGTCTCTTGCCTCGCTCGACCAGCCGCATTTTTTTACCCCATCGACTGGTCTTGAGCTGGATGCACCGGTCCGAAGAAATATAGAAAAAGGACCGGCTGTATGAGACGAGAGTGAATACCTCGATGATGTTTGAGTACGGTTTTATCCGCCTTTTTTTTCTTTTGGTCTACGGATATGGAATCGTAATTAATCTGTCGGGACATTCAACCATCCATTTATCATTGGTAGTTATGTGGTATGGTTAGGTTCGTCTGTAAGAACGACGGCTAAAATTAAAGGAAATGTTAATTTTTATTTGTTCTCTCTAAATCATTTAATTGTCTATTTCGAGGATAGATATGCCAAATGAAATGATCCCTTTGCAACTGCCACTGATAACCCTTAACCCTTTGCGGCCCTTGCTAAGGGTTATATATGCAGCACTTTAGGACACAGAGGAATAATGCAGTTAACAATGAAGTAGATTATAAGCAGAAATAGGTATGTAGCTTGCTACTTATTCAGGAATATTTCAAATAACTTCTCTATTGCCTATTATAACAATAGGCCTCTCGGCCTGGGTTGAAATGACCTGCGCCCCTTGAATGTTATGCAGATCCTGATGATTTTCGCATCCAAAGTATCATTAACTGGGAATTCTACTATGCAGCACTAGTAGAAGTTATATATTGTTTACCATGGTGGCTCCTTCTCGTGTATTCCAACGACTGGAGCAGCAGACTGGATGACTTCTTAACACACTACATGCCGCAACAAAAGTCTTTTTCTTAATGTCCTGAAAATAAGAGCAGCGACAACAGATAGCAGCAGAATTGTCGCTCATATGGAACACAATCTCATGCATAATGGGAATTTCTGGGTTTATCCTGCAGCTAGGTCCAGCTTTGCATTCGATGATATCTACTGGCGATTCATTATTAACAGGAGGTACTGTACTGTACATACTATAGAGAGCCCACCTTGCTCAAAGATCGGATTGCGCTTCTCAGCGAAGACGAGCGAGCGGGCTGATCTGGATGGATGGATGGAACAGGCAGCTCAGCGCAAGCTAGATGAGAACCGGACACTGGATGAGAGATTCTTGCAAACTTCTTGAGACAGTATCTGTTGTCTGCTAGATTTGTAATGATAATGTAGTTTGTCTTCCCTTTTTTTTTTTGTATAGCTATAGCTATTTCTTCTCCTCGTGACGATTTCAGACAACCCCGAGGCGTTTTTGGATTGATACTGGACCGGATGGGTATGATATATATACAATACTCCCTTTTGAACACAATCTCAACATCATCCTTGAATTTATTCTTTCCCAGATGATGCATTTGCATTGTCAGAGAGAGCCCTATATTATGCATATATATATATATATATTATATATATGCATTGGTGATCTTATTTTCTGTGCGAGTTTTTGTCAAGAATCCCGTAATATAATTATTGGTGCTTTTTTTCTATGCTAGAGTATTTTTTTTGGTTACAGTTGCTCTGTGCTTTGTCATGCGCCTGCTCGATTTCTCACGATTTGGAGCTTCGCTTTCTCCAACTTTGAATCGCTGAATTCTGATCTTCAAATTGGTGAGTGATGTATGTATATCGCCTACCGCATTATCGCTACCGCAGCGCTGCCTTCTTGGTGGGCATGCTATCCTGTCAATCTAGCTTACTGATAGGTATATATCCTCGATATGTCTGAGCGAAAACTTAGAAGCTTAATCTGAAGAAAAAGATTTTACCATAGAGCCATTGTACTCCGAAAACCTGTTTAAATGATTCACCTAATTACTTGTCTAGAAAGGCGGCGGATCCAGATCCAGCCCTTCGACCGTCAACTTGAACGCGTCGTTGCGCGAGTAGCTCCCCGCCACGTCAAGATCGAGTCTCCCCCGCTCGCAGTCCTCGAAATCCACCTCTGCAATGACGAGGCCGTCGCCAATGGCCGATTTGCTGCTGTTGTCAGGGTCGACGGTTGGGATGTCGGTCCCTGGCTCGTCGTCTGTCGAGACGTCCCAGATCGGTCCGCCTAGGACTTCGCCCAGAGGTCCGATGATGCAGGAGCCGCCGTGGCTGACGTAGGGGTTTGTGGGGTCTGGGTAGATGTCAGTTGTTGAACGAGAGTGGTTCAGAAATATATATATTATCGTCGACTCACCTGTCTTGGTGGGATACAGCCCCGGACGAGCTCCGTTCGCTGGAAGTAGTGCAGTTAGCGATGTCCACATTCCACTACATGCTGGTCTTCTAACCTGTCGAATCCTCGACCACTGCCACGCTGACATCCTCGACCGTCCGATCTCGCTCCTTATCCGGATGGAGCTGCGACGACCCAGGGGACTGCGGCCAAACGATCTCATGCGGTCCCTCCGTCGTGATGGACTGTTTCCGCGGCTGCGATTGCGCCGATCGGTCCGGCAATCGAGATGTTGTCGTCGTATCTGTCTTCTTTCCCGTAACCCATTCCGGCAGGTCATTTCTCCGCACACATTGATTGGCAGAGAGCACCACGGCGCGTCCCTCGAATGCCACCGTCCGCATCAGCGGCAGCCAGGTATCCCGTCCGTCTGCCGTCGGGGCCAGGTACAGGTTCACATTCTGCGAGTACAGACTCTGGCGCAGCAGCGGCATGTAGTTCTCCCAGCAGATGGCGGCGCCGATGATCAGTCGCACTCCGTTGATCTCCGTCGTCACGGCCTTTAATGTCGAGGGGGAGCCCTGGGCCCAGATCAAGCGCTCTGCTCCGGTCTGACGAGTGACATAGGATTTGTTAGCATTAGGAATTAGTAATTCTGAGCATTGACATAAAGCCAACTTACTGGCATCACCTTCCTCCTCTTCCCCAACACCCCCCTGATCGGATCGACGTAGACGACAGCGCAGTACAAACTCCCCCCCGCCTTCTCAATCACTCCCACCGCGATGAACACGCCCGTCTCGCGGGCCACCTTCTCAAGGAACTCCCTCGTGCCATCTCCGCGATGCTCCCGGCCCTTGGCGACGGGCAGCTTCCGCTCAATCCAGGCGTCGCCCGCCCCGGCCGGCGTGTCGCCCAGGTCAACCGCGGAGTTGAAGTACTGCAGGAACTGGTCGCGGCCGTGCGGTGCGCGGTCGCCCACCGCGGTGCCAAAGTCGCATGTCCGGGGATAGCCGCCCAGGTAGGCCTCTGGGAAGAGGAGGACGTGGACGCCGCGCGAGGCAGCGTGGCGGGTCGTCCGCTCGAGGGCAGTCAGCGTCTCACTCAGCGTGGAGCGAGTCCGCGATTGGGCGACGGCGACGGTGAGTTTCTTGGGCATGGCGAGGATGGATGTATGTATGTATACTAGAGCAGGAGCATGGAAGCGATAGCTGAGTATTATTATACTAAGCAATGACTGTGAATGAGGTCAATTGAGGAGCAAGACCGAAAGTAAGTAAGCTTCCGCCGTCATACGAGGCACGAGCGCAGTGCGGGGGAGATGGGGAGACGCATCGGTCACTGTTGGAGTATTTCCAGATCCGTCAGGGAAAACCGCCCAGCGATCCTTTTTTTTTCCTTGGAAGGTATTCTGTGGTCTTTTCACATGGACTAATTCTTCTCTCCCAATTGATCCGATTTCGATATTGAGAGGCCCAACATTGGAATGGGTTCATGATTGCGTCAGTGCGGGGTGGAAGAGAAGCTGCTCCGGTAATGGGCTTTCCGGTATTTGAGATGACTACTGCCAGATACGGTATAAGATATGCCCTAAGTTGGCTTTCGGGTAATTTTCAAAAGTGCAGTACATAATATCTTATTACATGCCCTGCGCTGCCCTAATTATCTTCCACCATATAGGTCTTCTCTTACATTCGATACGCCAATTTATCTAACTACGTCTCTTAAATCTAATATTGTAAGCTGCCTCTGAATTACAGAGTTCTATTGTAGCTTCTAATGATGTCTCTTCCAAGCTCTAGACGACATTCTATTTTAAATTGTTACTATGCCTGTCTTAAGCTCCCGTATTTATTCAGTCAGGAAACCCTTTTCTCTTCTATCAGCTTTGCGAACGCAAGTACTTCGATGTTACGCTGATCTTTTGCCGTAACCATCCGCTTCCTAGGCGAGATCGCTTCTCGGAAATTGACTGATACCTTGACAGAATGGTGTCGTAGTGCTAATCAATAAAACTGTCCTGCATCTCTCTTCAAGACTAAAGGGCTGAATGGAGAACCGATCTGAGCATTTGATAGTCGAGTAATAGCATATGTATAGAACAGGCATCTACGGAAGAGAAGCCTGACCTCAACCAGACACTGACCTCTAGTTTAGACATCGACATTTTTAACGCTGTCATTAACTTCTTTTTTAAGGTTAAAAAAAATATCAGCAAGTTGAATCCTTTCACTTGTTGAACTGTAGAATATGACTACAGTCCTACTCTAGATCCCACAGCTCGCTTAACATACTGCCAAGACAACCTCTCTAATTAACTGGCAAAGCCATCTTCGAGTCAACGAATCTTGGCAAGCAGTGATTCCTGATAATCATTTCCTACAAAACGTACCACCCGGATATACAGACAGAGAAGACCGAGATCTGACTCCCGTCCAGAAACGGTCTTGGCGCGCTGCATTCACCACAACCAATGTCGACATACCGTCACTTCATACCATAGAATAACGATCTAACTTGATATCAGTGACCTGATCTGAAGGAATGAATATCTGGCCAGGTTATGACCCATGAACAAGAAACGAGTCATTCGGTCAACTGTTAAATATGAGTCTCCCACGATGCTTCTTCTTCTCCTCCTTTTTATTCTTTCAAACTATCAAGATACCCCAAGGCCGAGATAGGTCCTCTTTTCTTTTGATCCACGAACAACAAGTCCTACATATCAGGTTAGTTGGATGAAGTCCTTCTTAGGCAGTTGTTATATATATCAACACACATTGCACGAAGATGAAGGAGAGAGACTGACCTTGTCTTGCAGCATCAAAACTCTTGCCTGATTATCTGATCCTTGCCTTCTTTACCTCAAGGACAACTATCTTAAAAAGCAAATAATATCCTCTTAGAAACCATGGGCATTATGAACCTTGGGGTGGGTTTCACCGGTGTGTTTAACCGAACCCACAAAAAGCGCGACGGCCATACCCACGTCTACCTCGCAGACCCATTCACGACGCTTGTCTACCTCATAAAACTGGACGACGATCAAAAATTTCCCGACAAAGTGCAAACTAGGGCGTGGATCAAATCTTCCGGACAGAGCATCACTCAAGACCAGCAGCGAAGCTCAGACGTGGAACCACACAGTGGAGAATGCTTTATTTCCAATTGCAAAATTGAGGGAAAATGGGGCTTTGAAAGCGGTGACCAGGTTGAAATCGTAATCGAGGCCAAGGTCGGACAGGCCCTTGTAGGAACGCTGGATGTGACTTTGGTTATCAACTAGACGTCCATGGTCGATGGATGTCATTACTGATCGATCTGATGGGTCGATCTAGATGAGGGGTGGTTGGATGTGTGCGAGTATTTCTATTTACTTGGTTTGTGACAGGTTTCTTTTCTCTCTACTTGACATTTCTTCTTGACATTCATGTATGAGTAGATACATTTTCTATCTCTTCTATTTCTTCTATTTCTTCTATTTCTTCTATTTCTTCTATTTCTTCTATTTCTTCTATCTCTTCTATTTCCTCTTTTCTTCGGGTTCCACCATGTATTTAAATGTATGAGTTAGACCAATTCTGACAGATTGCTACCATTTGAATCAATTATTATTTGATATTCAAACATTCGAACTTTATTCATGTCTGTATGTTGTGTTCTACAGTAGTCCTTATCTGTAATGCAAGGTTGTACTTGTGCATCTATCTACTCGATCTACTAACATCCGGAAATTTCCTCGAGAAATTACTCATTTCACACCCGTGCTTCGTTCGAAGATATTAAAGTATCAAGCAATCAATAGATACCTTACATCTCCTTTACTCTTAACAAAATTGGAGAGATATTGACTCATTCGCCAGGATGTGGGGTATTATGACTCAATATATATGGTCTGAAATGACTCTACGCACGCAAGTCACTTTCTATGATCCCACTTGATTGCATGTGACAGGGAGTGAGAAAAGTTATTTTTGTTCTACCATCATCGTATCTTCCATTGTGGCTGATGGATGCTGGATGGTGAACCGAGGACATTCATTTTCAATTTTCGATCTTAAAACCAGAACTTTACCTAGTTAGTTATGTCATGTTAGTCATGTCCTGACCACAACAAACCTTACTTTAAGTGCGGAGTATGTAGGACACACGCAACCCAAGACAAAAAAAGCACAGGACCTTAGGGACCAAAAAAAAAGAAAAAGAAAAAGTGTCATCGACATAGTATACTGTACATGTATGTACATATGTATCTATAGAACTGCTCTGGCTAAGATAGGAAATAATATGGAGTGGCAGGCATGTAGTGACGAGAAAGCAAGCAAGCAAGTTTCCGTATGCGGAAGGTTGGTTTGCTGGTTTGCTGGCTGGTTGGTCAGAAGAGCTGACCGACCGGGTAAGTCGAGTGTATATAGATTATGAGCATTACCTAGTGACTACTAAGCTACGGACAGATAGACGAACATACACATCTCGTCTGTGCTGAATAATATATAAAGGCAGAAATATCGAGTTACTACGAAGAGAAAGGAGAATATAGATAATCTAGATGTAGCAAAGACAGTGGCACTCAACTCGACCTTTTGTCTTGTTCCTAAATTTCAGATATCATGTCCAGCACAATGAGAGCCACTGTCTGGGAAGGAAAGCCTTTTCACATTTTGGTCAAAGACTGTCCGATACCTCATGTGAGAGATCTCTGCCATCTGTGGCTCTGTTCTGCATACCTATCAGGGTAAGTAACAGTCAATACAGTATCTACTCGAGGTTCAATGTCTCTGATAATAGACTCATGCGTATTTGGCAGCACAAAGCGCCCTAGACCATAGGCCCGAAGGCATAAGCAGCATCACCAGAGTCGGCGAGGGCGTGTTTTCCACCAAGAATGGCGATCGGGTGGCTATTTCATAAGCCTAACCCTACCTCAACAACCATGGTTGAATTGAATCGAAATTAGCAACTGATAAAGACAGGTACATACCGGCCTGTGGCTTCTGCGCCAATTGACGGTCAGACAATACATCTAGCGTTAGTGAGAAAGTGAGTCAGGATGGCTTGTAAAATTCGGCTTAAAAGAAAGCATCAATTAGAGAGCCTATGGTCCAAGAACTAGTAGATAATCTGATGTAGAGAGACTTTACTAAAAATAAAAAGCCTCTGAATATTGTATTAAATGTGATGCCTATCTCTATATAATTATTTAGAACTAAAGAGAAATAGTTAGATTAAATCACAGTATCTTAGATACCTGCTGCTTGCTTCTCCCTGCTAATAGCTTCAGGATATATCCTATCCTCTTCCTGTTTATAACACTATTAAGGACCTTTTGTCTGAGTATAACAGTATATTAGGGCATTTACCTATATATGGAGATATAAGAATTGGTCTAGGTGATACTTAAGAGTAGGGTTTCCAGGTAGATAGAATATTACAACTTGTATAGACATATAAGGACCGGATAGTATATTGGAAAGGTATTAGCTTAAGTAGTGATGAAGCTATATTGGCTATTACACTTTATCCTCTGATAGTCTCTTTTATTTTTCGCTTGCACATTAGTCGGCAACACGTCTCCCTCAATGCCCAGGCAGCACTGGAGGGATGACTGGCTAAGTCTTTTTATTAGTCGCTGTATCGCCTAGCAGAAGTCGCATTCCAGTAGATATGCAAGACGGCTCTTATTACTCGTTAGGTGGATTGAAATCTACGCAAGTAGAGTATGAGTAGACCAAAATGCGTTAGACTTAAGCGTAATAGATGCCGTCGGTCTCTTATCAGTGAACTGCAGGCCGCAGACAGTGCACCTAAAGGGATCTCCCATCTTGGCTCGTTTGAAATGCTTCCGTCTGATGTGCTTGGTTAGGTCACCGTGCTCTTTGAATTGCTTCACGCGCTTTTTGATGTCCAAATTCGGCTGTCCCACACAGATGAAACAGACACGGGGCCTTCTCTCTGTCATGACCGATCGAATAGCTGCCTCCAGCAGCTGATCCGACTGGGAGCAGCTTTCGGCAGCATTAGTCTCCTGGTCTTTAACGTCGTATCCTTCTGGCTTTGTTGCCTCGACCTTGCCGCGGTGATAAATAGAAATGGAGTCTTCATCGGACTCGCCAGGTACCACTTACTCGTCTTTGGCGCCCAGAAACTCCTTTGTGAACTCAAAAGTGAACTCGATCACGATCCAATGAGGACCACCTTTAGGATCTCGGAGCAGGCAGACTTTAATATGGCGATACTTGAGATCCAAGATGGCCTGCGGACGATTTGTTGTAAGACCTGCCAGCTGTAGAAACAGACAGAACTCGATGCGATGTCGACCGTGTCCAAACTTCTTTTTTGTGGTGCTGATGACAGTCTCCATAACCTTCGCCAGATCCTCGACATACATAGCCGACTTTTCACGACCTTTACTGGACAGTTTGTGTTTCTTA